ACAAAATTATAAAGATATATCCGATATAAAGAAAAGTCTAGTTAACGAAAATTTTAATCTTTTCGATACCAGAATGAATATTTCGAGACTTAAAATATCCTCTTGATTTGAAAGTTCCTCTTTTAATATTATTTTTAGATTTTTTATAGACACGCGATTATTTATAAACAATGTTGAAGAAAGAATACTATCGAAAAGATTAATAGACCAAAATAAAAAAAAATGCCGAATAACATTATAAAAAGAAATATTAAAAATGTACGAGTATCATGATTAAATTACATCTAAAGATTTAATATTATAATATTAATTTTATATATATAAAATAATGGAAGACTGGTTTCGCCGATTATAAATAATAATAAATTTTCGTCGATAGAATGTTAGCTCGCATCGGTTAACGAACTAGTCTCGTTCATCATGGAAACAGAGGAGAGAAGATTCAATTCGGCAAATAGTATTCTCGTGGTATGTATTCCGGTTTCGGACTACTCGGCTCGATACCGAGCAGCTCCCCCATAAAGGCGATGTATGTGATTGCCAGGCGCAACGTCTCGATTCTCGAAAGCCGTTTCTCGTAAGCGAATGTCGGTACCTGAACACGTGAAATGATTATTACGAAATTGAAAGAAAAAGTCTTGGAGAAAAGTCAAAAGAATATGTTCTCTTTTTTTTTTTTTTAAACGCGGCACGTACTTTCCTGCGGAGTTTGTCGAAGGCCTCGTTTAGATTGAACATCCTGCGCCTCTCCCGAATATTTGCAGCTCTCCTCTGAGATACTGTTGCCACTCGACGTCTCGGTTTCTTCGTCGTTGACGACGGTAAGTTCGGCGAACGACCGTTCGGTGTATAACGACTGAAAGTTTCAAAATTTTTTACACTTTGTGATATAATATACATATAATGTACTTGGGAATCTTTGATCGGAAATGTGAGTTTATGATTGACGAAGCTCCAACGGTGACGTTCTATATATTTTCCAATTTTTACCTCTCTCTTTCGTCCTTTTGAAGCGATGAAATAACAATGAAATAATCTTACGTACTTATACCGTACAAATATCCGTCACAATTCCGTACTAATTTTTGTCAAATATTATTCAGTCCATTTTTGACAACTCAATAGACGCAAAATAATGTTTTGATCAACTGTACAGGGAAAAGCTGAAAGGTAAAAAAAGTTTTGGAAAATGAAAATCTTCAATTCTATTATGATCTGTTTCTATGTAATATATAACGGTGCCTTTGTACCAAATCAAAGTTTTTCTTTTGACATAAAATTAAAAAAAAAATCTGTTAAATATTCTTGGAGACCACGAAAAAAAAAATGGGATATACCACGTCAACTTTTATAAGAATTAACCCTCACCTATCGGATGTGAGATCCGTATGAATTCCTATGCAAATTATTTATGTTACAACTGTAAAATATTTAAAAACGATACATCGTGCTATCAATCTTCCTACCTCTTTCCCGTTAGTGTAATAGTTAATTTTCTAGTGATAGAATATTCTTTTCTACTTGCTTTATATAAGGTACAATATTTTTTTTAACAAAAAAAGTTTACAAATACATGAATCATATAAAAATTTTATCGAAAAGCTTATTCGCAGAAAACCGCTGTTCAAAATCGTCCGAGGGTTCTCCTTTTTCCAAATGTCCCTTTACCTTTCGACTTTCTCTCTTGCAGGCAGCGTAGAATGAATTACCTCTGGTGCAACAACGCACAGGGTTGCCTGTACAATCCGTGTTCATTCACGTGCGGATGAGCAGGCGGCTGCGTTTGATACAAGACGGAACTATCCCACATCGGATAGCTAGCGATTTCACCGCCAACGTACTGCGACATCTCCGCCGTGATTACCTATCACGTGAATATAGATTTCGTCTGAGAAAATTAATCCAAGCGATGCAAACTATATGAGAATTTACAGCGCGTTTAATAAATTTATACGCAGAGAGAGAGAGAGAGAGAGAGAGAGAGAGAGAGAGAGAGAGCGAGAGTAGTAGTCGAAGTCGAATTTGTTTAAAATTTAATAAATTTTAGTAAATATTAAAGAAAATTTACTTTTAAATAGTCCAAATGAATTTAATTGTTGAATTCAACAGATTAGATTGTTTGATTTTTTAAATAATAATAATAAATAGCTTATTTTTTCTAAAAATATTTATTTAATAAATTGTTTGTAAGAAGAAAATAACGCTCTTTATTATATGCTTCAAACGATATTAAAGTAATCTACTTTACTTTTCATCGAAACGATATTTAATCTAACCTAAGGTATGATTTGATTTAAAGATAAATTTATTTCCTTTAAATAATAATGTTTTTTCTATGAAACAACACGATATATTCTAACGAAATAACAAAACTCTTAATTCAACAAAATGATGTTTAATATAAAACTATATCATTTAAATTAAATAAATTCAAGTCCAATGAATAGAATTGCTAAATCTAAAAAAACTTTCTTCTTAGTGTAACTTTTTTATCTATTAAAAAGTTTTATAATATAATTATAAATTGAATCTATTAAATTATGAAAATGATTAGATTGTATTTTTAAACGCTCTTACATTTTATAAAATATATCAAACATATATGTCTACACCGAAAGAATGATTTTGCGCAAGTGTCCAAAAATTTAATTTCCTAGATCCAATTCTAAATCTAATTCTGTTGGACCGATATTATTAAGTAGGACTTTCGAGACTTAATTGTAATGATAATATTGCAAATTTTTTTTATATCTTAGCAATCGATTTGAACGATCGAGTTGTATGTAATTAATTTGATGGCTTAATAAAATTATTTTTAAATCTTTTTCTACCCAAATTTTTACTTTAGCAAAAATGTTCTTTTTGTATAAAAGCCGCTTTTTATCGTTCATTCCATTTTAAACGAATTAATCAATCTTCTTATTAATCTAAAGCCCACATCGGACTAAATTAGATTAAAATTTAATTTATTGAAAGAAAAAGCCAATCTCAATTTTAACCCGTAGTCTGACGATACGATATTTAATGCTAATTATATATTTAATCCTCATTTTTCCCCTAGTTTCTTTCATTTTCAAATATTAAGATTAAATGTTAATGCTATTGGTCAACAACTCTTGAAGAAATATCATATTTTTATATCTTTTGAATAAAAATGCATGTTTTTATGAGACAAGTTTATGAGACAAGTTTTCCTTAAGAATCTTAAGGCAATTTTGAAATCAAATTCCAATTAATTTAACCGACGATTAATTCGACCGGCAATACGCTTACAACAAATTTATTCGAGTATAATTTATTATCCTTAATCGAACTTTTGCATATGTCGAACAACAAACAATTGACACGTTCTATTCACGTTAACTGTCATGGTAATAGTACAAGTACTTGTCGTATGATAATTGTCACTTAAATTAATCAGAGTTTGATCACCATTAAAATGCTTGATTCGATTAATCGTTACAATATTATACATTATGTCAGGCTACAATTTGATATTTCACTCGATTATTAGCCATATGTATCTTAATAATTTGACTCTAGTTCATTGCCTTTCCAGGCTAAAGTAATTTATATTTATAAAATTTAAAATTAAATTGCAAGCGAGTGTCGCTAGCGATGTATCATTATTATACATAGGATATTTTTCCCTTTTTCTGGCACATTTAAAAATTTGACCAGATATGAAAATAATTTTGTTAAGCCTTCAAAATTATTATGTATGATGTTCAAATTGATTGTTAGAAGATCGAAAATTTATTCAATGTTATTATTATGTTTAAGCGTTAACTATATAATTTTGATGATTTAACAGAATTGTTTTTATATCCATACATCTGGCCAAATTTTTCTTTCTTTTTTTTTTTTTTTTGTTAGGTTTGCCAGAAAATTATTCTCTCCATACAGAAATAATTACAAAACCCTCCTCCTCCGTTTTTTCATCGTAAATAACTCGGGACATCGTGAATCGTATCATATAGGACTTACTGGTGCTTGATTTCCATTAATCTCCCACAGCGGTTCGGTGTAGCTCATATCCCGCTTCCTGTCCAGCGACGAATGAATACCACCAGTGCTCGTTTACTCACTCACAGAAGATGGAAAAAAATTAAAAAAAAGAAGGATGTCTGTGCGTAATGGCACTTGAACGACGTCTTGCGATTGTTTCGGGGCTCGAGCGTCCCGTTATTCTGAGGACCATCCACCGGGATAGCGCATTTTCGGAAATTTTACAGACATCCCGGGGGTAGCTACCCTCTTCGGCATCCCCGAAAACGCGCAGATCACATGTCGCGAGACGCGTGCGCCGTGACGCAACTACGACAACATTGGGGCCTCCTCGACACCCCTGTAACCCCCGTTGGGCGGTGCTTGTCGCGGTGCGGCCTACCGGTGTCGCCAGAGCTCATTTCGAATATTGACCGAAAGATTGTAAAATGGACGCGATGGATGGAAACCGAACGACGGGAAAGCCGAGTTTCTGATCTGTATAAAGATGTTGTAGCGATAAATTTACAATTTATAAATTTAATAAAACTAACACGAGCCAGAAGAGAAATAAAAATTTTTCTTTTTACATATATGCGATCCCGATTGATGAAGATTTTGATAAAAAATCAAAACCCGATCGAGACATTAGATAAGGAAGTCTGTGTATGTACACGAATACAGCGAAATTATGTAGGTGAAAAAAAAAGTTGGAAAAATTTTTTTTATCATACGTTTTTATCATACGTTTTTATCACGTTCGTGCTTTAGATTTACATTGGCCTTGTATTAAATTTATAATGTAATAAACAATAATGCAATAAACAAATTAATCAATTTTATTTATAATATGTTGTTGTAGATTTCTTATCTTAAATTCTCAAATTCCTATATGAAAAGAACAATTCTGCTAAAGTATTTAAAAATTTGGCCACATATCGATCTGAAAATAATTTTGTTGGACCATCAAAATAATTACAATAAATACGAATATATGGAACGTTCAAATTGGTTGCTAGAATATAAAAGATTTTTGCGGTATTATCATCATGCTTGTATCCTATATTGATTTTAATGGTCCAAACAAATTATTTTCAAATCATGAACGAATATTTAGCAAGACTATTTTTTTCACATAAATCGATTCTAAGATTTATATATAACATCTATCCATCTGTGTATAACATTTAAATATTATATTAACTTTTTAATTTGCATCTAAATATCCTTCCGATATATACTTAATTCTGCATCTATTAAATGTTAATTAGATGTGATATATTAGTCGGTTTCTGTTTCTTTTCTACTCGAGTCAGTTTCTTGCGGTAAATCATCCTCTCGTCGCAATTGCTCAAGGGATTTCCGCGACGAATTCATATAATAAGCGTCTCGAACAGGTTTGGAAAGATCTGTGACGAAATCGCAAATTTCGCTGAGCTGGGGCGTGACCCCATTGCGGGCGACGATGCAACGAGGTCTGTGCATTGTTAACGACGCATCAATATCGGATTGAACGAACACGTGCGAAATCCAGAGGACCCCGTTTACGCGAATTGCCCTATTTATCCCATTATCTCTGCGAGTTTGTCAGGAATCGCTCCGCATTGATTTAACGCAAGATGGATCTATTATATCAAATTATTACGAAAAGAAAAAGAATAAGTAAATTGTTTTTTAAATAAATTTAACTTTGTTTCAGAATGAAATGGGTAATTGACATAACAATAAAATAATATGTATGATGATTGCAATGAATTATTTAACTTTAAAATGACATTTGTCTTTAATCTGTATTATTTAAATTTATTGACCAAAGATTTAAAAAAGAAGTTATATGTATCAATATAATAACGGCAATCGTCATATAATTTCAAATAAAAATTATTATATTCTAAATAAATTGATCGTGATGAATTTTTCGGAATAACATTTTAATACTGAATTTCGAAAATGCTTACGCAATCCCAATATTATAAATTAGCATTTTTAATTTTTTACACCGAAAAATATGTTTGATTGGATTAATTGGAATTCTGACTGAAAATGGACAAATCATCATTTTCTGCTTAAATCTACTAAAATTAATTAATTGAGATAACCGGAATTTCTGATTGATGTAATCATCTTCTGATATGTCCAGCTTTCAACCAGACACTTTCTCAGTATATTTGTTTTTCAATTTATTTTCATTTTACCTTTCTAATTTTGTTAAATTATGTTTATGTTAATAATATTCATATTTTCTAGCTTATACAAAATAATTGTATATTTAATTTAAATATTTAATTTAAATATTTAATTTAAATTTACTTTGCTCTCTTCCCCTAAATATTAATAATCTTCGAAAAAAATATAATTTAAATATTATGCTAAAATAATTTTTAAGAAATATAGAAATATTTTAAAGAATATAAATATGGTCTCTGCAATTCCTTATTAATATCTATATACTTCTGTAGTATATTTTTTAATTTGAGTTAGAATTAGAACTCGATCAAAAAAAAATTGCAATCGTTAATAAGAACAATAAGAATTGTATCGAATAATAAAATGATTGATTATTGATATTGAGATAGAAAGCAATGATAAATTGTAGCTATTAACTAAATCTCGGTTCCGAAATAACATATAACATGTAAAACACTCTTTATTATAATTTCATTAAGCTTTAAAAATTATACTAAAAATGCAAGAATAGAAAACGATAGGATTTAATATCTAACTTTGAGATGACATCTCTCGTAATTCGATGATTTCGAGGATTAGAATTTTCAAAAATTGATTTCTCTTTCGAGACAAATTTCTACTAATTATTTTCGATTGTTCGGGTTTTTTTTTTGCAAAGTGAATGAAATTTAATTTTGCGTGTGATTTCATACGTATCGCTCGCTCCAGAAAATGATGGCGGAAAGTGCTGGAGCTTACCAGCGCCAACGCCTGAAACATCGATCCGAAGCGTCAGCTTGCAGTTATGTATATAGTTCATATTACAGCATGATGGTATTAAACATCCACGTCGCTCTCTATACGCGCCTACGTTCCTATATGTGATACTGTTTATCAAATATTTCGCGCGATATTAGATACGCACGACACGCGCGCGATATTTTCTTCGCACGACACACTTAACTTGATTTGTTTTTCGATTTCATATTTAACGATATAATTATTAAAAAAATTGACTCTGGCATAAAATCCTCAGCCAACGTTTCAAAACTCTATATGAAAAGAACACTTTTGCTGAAATATCTAAAAAAATTTGGTACCAGATACAGATCTGAAGAAGATACATTAATATTATATAATTTTATTCAGCCATCAAAGTGTTTATGTAAAAATGTTGAAATTTATTGTTGGAATAAAATTTTTTACATAATTATAATAAGTTATCATCATGCTCAAACGTCCAACGCAATAATTTTTACGGTCCAACAAAATTATTTTTAGATTTATGTTTGATCAAATTTTTAGATGCTTCAGCAAATGCGATTAATTTTCTCGATCAAAGCGATATTATAA